CGGAGGATATATACACCTCACTAAAAATAAGTAATAGCCCTGGCCTGGTGGCTCAGTTGGTTGGAGCTTCATCCTGTACACCGAAAGACTGCAGGTTCGACCCCCGGTCAGGATGCTTAGAGGAGGTAACAATCAATGTTTCTCTCTTGCTCTCTCTCTCCCCTCCTCTCTCTCTAAAAGTCAATAAAAATATATCCTCCGGTGAGGATTTAAAAATTAAGTAAACAATTTTTAATTAAAATTTTTCTTGTGACTACACCTCAAAAAGGAGAGCTGCCAACTCTATCTTAAGGAACAAATTTTCCTGCAACAGAAATTTCATCACAATTTCTTGCATAGACTGCTTGTTTCTGCTGACAATATATAGTTCTCACTAAAGGTTTTCCACATTTTTTTCCTCTGCATTTTTTAAATCATTTTTTAAAAATATTTTATTGATTTTAGAGAGAGAGGAAGGAAGAGGGATAGAGAGAGAAACATCAATGAGATGAGAGAGTAATACCACCCCCGTACTGGGGATGGAGCCCGCAACCTGGGCATGTGCCCTGACCAGGAATCAAACGGGTGACCTCTCAGTTCATGGGTTGATGCTCAACCAATGAGCCACACAGGTCAAGCTTTTAAATTATATTTTAAAAGCATCATCAAAACCAAACATATACGTCAATATTAAAACCCACAAAATTAGCTATTACATACCTATATAGGCATCTTAGTAAAGTACCTAATTGCTTCATGAGAAATTATGTAGTATATAACAGAGGAAACATTTGCAGTGGAGGCAGGATAACCTAGATCTGGGTGGAAATCATGGCTCCATTACTTGTTAGCTATGTGACCTTGGGCAATTTCCTTTTCTCAGTCCGTTTTCTCATTTGCGAAATGAGGTAATTCCAATCTTATGAGGATTAACTGTATGTGAAATGCCCAGCACAGAGCCTGACTCAAAGCAGGAGCTCAGGAATCAGTTACTATTATTACTCGTTGTTATTCATGTAAGCTTCTTAAAGGCAAAGCATACTTCTTCCTGTAATTCAACTGCAGCCTGTATAATTGAGAACTGAAAAAGTAAAGGCAATAAACATCAAAGTTATAAACGAGGATCTGGTGTAATATCAGTTCAACACATGCCTCGATTGGACATGAGACTATAAAGTAATAATGATGACCTTCAACGCATATCAAAATGAACAATGTCCTGCCCTGGCCTGTGACTCAGTGGTTAGAGCATCGGCCTGCACACTGAAAGGTCCTGGGTTCGATTCCTGGTCAAGGACACATACCTGGGTTTTGGGTTCACTCCCCACCCCCCATCAAGGCACATGCAGGAAGCAACCAGTCGATGTGATGTGTCTCTCTCACATGGACGTTTCTCTCTCTCTTTCTCTCAGTCTCTCTCTCTCTCCCCACTCCTTCTTCCCTCCCTTCCATTCTCTCTGAAAAGCAATGGAAAATATAACCTCATGTGAGGATTAACAAACAAACAAAAAAGTGAACACTGTCTTTACTTTTATAAGCCATTCTAAAAGGAGATGAATGCTGTCTGTGTACAAATCACTTACAGGATTACTTTAATTCATTCCACAAATACTTCTTGAATATCCATTAGGGGCCAGTCATTATGCTAGGCAATGTGCCTATGATGGTGAGCAAAAGCAGACACAGTTCCAATCCTCATGGAGCTTCTGATCACAAGTTCAGAGTGTAAACTTGTGATAAGCGATGTAAAGAAGAATACATGATACTCTGAAAGCCAGTAACAGAGATCTAACCAAACTGGGGACATCAAGGAAGGCCTTCCAGAGAAAGTGAAAGCTGAGAGCTGAAGGATGAAGAGGGAGTTAGCAGTGGAGGGTATTTCCAGACAGAGGAAAGCTGGAAATGGGCAAGAGGCAGGATCAAAAGACCAGTGTGCCCGGAGCAAAGATGAGGTGTGAGAATTAGCGAGGGCTCTAGTTCACTCAAGGGCTTATGCACTGCAGATCATATTCAAGAGTTGTAATGACCCCAAGAGCAATGAAAAAGCCACTGAAGGGTTTTATAAATATTATTTGGGGGGCGGGTAGGCTGAAGGGAAGATGCAATCAGATCTGCAGTTTGCCTTTGGCTTCTGGAATAAGAGCTAAGGAATGTAGATGGGTCGGGTAGAAAGCAGAAATTCTGTCAGGATATGACAGTAGCTTGGGGACTTGGATGATGGAGGTGGTGGTGGAAGAAGTCAAAGAATTCAAGACATATTCAGAAAAACCTGATGATGTATAATATACAGAGGGTGAGAGAGAGTAGTGCCCAAGAAAACCTCTGGGTTTCCAATTGATGTGACTTTATGGGAGATAGACACCATTCAGGAGGGATCTGCTCCAGAAGCATCTGTACAGCAATTTCCACACCCCAAAAAAGGCATTTCAATTTTGCCTTAGCCCAGGTTTGATCCTCCCTCTACTTTACTTTTGAAACAGGGTTCCAAAAGATTTTTTGCTACTTCCAAAAATCAAACTGACTCAAAAGTACAAGATTTTTCCAACACTGAAAATATTTCAAAGATTCTGCCACAGCTTTGAAATCAATTCCAAATGAGTTCTAAAATTGGTTTGAGCAATGGGCTAGCATTATGGAATGAATGTGTCATTTCCTATGATGATTACTTTTATAAGACTAACACTCATTTGCTGCTGAAATATTTTAAAGAAATCTTAACAGTTAAGAGTACTCCTACATGATATTAAAGTAAAATATGAAATTTCACCAGGCATTACAATAATTGGAACTATGCTGCATTTATGTTTGTGTTTCAACATTTTGAAATGCCAGTAGAAAACAGTTGTTTCCATTCAGTTCTTGTTAATACCCTTCACATTCATTGGATATAAACAATTTTTACTAACCTACTTTATCAATACTACCAACACTTTAATATTTGCTTTCCTTGGTTTTAATTTTTTAATTTGCAACCTAATGCTATCTTTATAGTGGAATACTGATGCCATTAAGTCTTAGAAACACAGAAACTTCAAATCTGACAAAGCCCCCCAAAAAGAAGTGAATGAAAGAGTTTTGCCCCTTTAAAATCAACCTAATACATCACACCTTAGTACCAAAGTATTTCTCTAATTCGGGCAGGATGGGCTCCTTGGCCTCCTTCTTGCACTAGGCCCTGACTAGCATTTTATTAATGCTCAACTGCAGTTACCAGAGTGTTACCATGGCTTATACAAAGCAGCAAAATTCTTTTTTTCCCCATGCTGATTTTATCTCAAAATATCAAAACGCCAATATGAAAAATGTCATCTCCACAAATGAGAAAAAGGCTTTTAAACAATCAGATCTTAAACAAACCCATTAACCAATACTGGTTTGTAAAACCGGACTGTCTCCACACTAAAGACTGTACTATCAAATGAGGTTCTTGGGAACAAGGGCTGGGGAGCTTGAAATGGGTGACCATCTTATTTCAGATTTTTATTAAAACATGGAATCAGACCACATGGCTCTGTCTGAGCATAGCGAAGGCAGGGTATGAGCAGAGCCAAGAAAGAGGCAGGGGAAAAATCCGTAGGACTCCCATCTTCCTCAGAAGGTGTGGTCCGTCTGCCCCGCAAAAATGTGAGAGGGGGTTAAAAGGCCCGGTCTTCCCTCGCCCAAGCCCTCAAAATGACACCAAAAGCCACTTCCTTCTGGGAAATGACGGTCATAAGCGTTAAAGGACAATGGAGCTCAAAGTAGGCTCCGGAAAGATGGAGCCCGGAATCAAATGGAGTAGGGCAGTGGGCGTGCAGAAAGGGAAGGTCCAGGCCCGAGACTTCGAAAGCGTGGGAAGCCCGGACCTTCCAGAATGTGCCCGTAGGCTGCCACGGCGCCGCACGAAGACGCAGGGCTCGTCTGGAAACCTAGGGCATCCTCCCAAGGGCAGATGGTCTCCGTAGGAGCCCTGGCCCCCAACTGTGGCTTTTCCTGCCCTAAAACACACAAACCCGCACAGAAAAGAAGCAAAACCTGTAGAGGAAGGAAAGGCCAGAGGCAAGGAGTTCTGCAAACTTGGGGGGACAGGGGCGGCCTGGGGGGAGGGCGGGCCATTTCGAGAGAGGGCTACGTGGGCGCAGCTGCGGAGTCTCGCCGCGCAGGCCCCAGGGCTGACACGCCCCCCGCCCCGGGCCCGCTTACCTGCTCCTCCTCCAGGGTCAGCTCTGGCGCCATGTCGGCCTGGGGCGCGGTCGTCGGCTCCATCCCGCCGCCGCGGCGAAAGAGCCCGCTCGGGAGCGCGACGCCCGCTCAGCAGCCCGGGGCCGGCTTGTGCATGCTGCGCCCGACACCGCTGTTTCCTCACCGAAAGACTCCCAAGTGTCGCTGTCTCCTAGGCCGAAATCCTTGTGTGTTTTCTCCTCTCCCGGAAAACGGTGCAGGCGAAGAGCTGAAAGTCGATTGGGAGGGAAGAGGAAACGAACGTTCGGCCTGGTCGGCGGCGCCCCGCTCCTTCCGAGCGTGACGGGTCCTGGCCACCCACCCGGCCGCCTCAGCGCCGCTCAAGCCACAGCGAGGGACAGGGTAAGAGACAAGATGTCGCGCCCCCTTTGCGACTCACGGCCACCCCCGCGGCTGCCCGAGCCCCCTGCGGCTCCATTGAGAAACTGCGCGTGTCGTTCACTCATGGGCGGGCTGCGAGCAGGGTCAGCCGAGCGGGGACGCAGTCCAGGAGGGGGCGACAGAGAGGAGCCCGGGGCGGAGTTCTAGCTGAGGGAAGCCGGGCGGAAGGAGAAAAAGGGGGGCGGGGTGTGTGTGAGGAGGTTTAAGTTCCATGGACGGAGAATACAGTCTTTTAAAAACGAGCAGCTGACTTGCACGTCTCCGCGGTCACTGGCCGCTATGACCAAGTGAGGAACACACCTGTTCCCGTCGCTTCCAGACTGCAAGCCCCTGCGAGGGCCCGCACGCTCAGGTGGAGAACAGCCGCATCACCTGCGCCCTGGCTCTGGCTTCGCCGCCGTATCCGAAAACTCTTCGCAAGGCCCTCGCAACAACGGCGTCGGATTTGGGAACCGCATCCAGAACGCCTCAGCTTCTGCATACCTCTGATTTTCCCGCAGGCAGTACTACGAGTGGGGGTCTTAATGCGCGGTTTGGGCCAATTCGGGAGTCACAGGAAGGCAGGGCATTCCAGACCAAAAATAGGTAATATAAAAGGGCTGAAGCCGTGGAGAGCTTGGGAGAGACCCAGCGGACGGTCTTTAGACAGCTGAGGAAATGTTCCGTCGAGGACTTTAAAAGCAGCGTCTGATCTCACCTCATTTTTGCATCATTGCAACAGGAACTTCTGTTGCCTGCCCTTGGTTAGAGAAGAAGCCCCTGGTACTCAGGTAGGCTATTTTACCCTTTGCACCAATAAGGCTGACTCTGAGATGACTTCTTAACCACTTGCAGGAGTTATAGTTTCAGTATTACAACCTGGCGCTACTCTGGAATATTTAGCAAAAATATTTATATACCAGGCCCTGGGGTTACTTTCACATTCGAATTTGGAATGATTCCCTAAGCTATTATTATGAAGTGAAAAAAACAAGGCTCAAATAGTGTGCATTTTATGCTGTCACATGTATAAAGAAAAAAATGAACATACATTTGTAAACTTATACATAATAAAAGCTTTGGGAGGACACACAAGAAAGGTTCAGTGGTTGTCTCTCAGGAGGGAACTGGGAATCAGGAACAAAAGGGATAGGGAGACTTTTCCCTATATGGTCTTTTGTACATTTTAAGTTTTTTTAACTTTTTATTGAAATACACATACACAAAAGGTGAAAATGTAAGTATACAGCATGATGAACTTTCATAAACTCAACATACCCATGTAACCAGCACACAGATCAATAAGTTAGAACATTCCCAACTTGCCAAAACCCCCATTAGTCACTACCCCCAAGAAACTACTCTCCTCAAGAGTAACCACTATCTTGGTTGTGTGTGTAAGTTTCCCATGTGGATGTATAACCTTTTACAAAAAAATTTAAAATAGTAACTTAAACAAATACAGTTGACCCTTGAATAAGTTGGTTTTGAAGTGCACAGGTCCACTTACATGTGGAAAATACTGCAGAGTTTTTCTCCCTAAGCAAGCAAATGGCTGTAGGACTAAGCTGGAGGAAGAAATGGCAGGACCTGAGTAGTGCACTGAGTAGACAGACACAGGAGAGGATGGAGTCTCTCAACCCACTATTTAGTTTTATAGTTGTTTTGCCCAGTGATCTTCGGTATACCAAGATTTATCCAAAGTCACACAGCTAATTAATTAGTATTGAGCTAAAACTTGAACCCAGGCATTCTAACTCCTAGTGCAGGCATTGGGCAAGGATAATTAATAAAGGGAGAAGTTTAACAGAGTGGACCCTGGAGAGAGAATTCAGCAGTGTTTTTAGAGACTCAGCTGCTTGTAGGGGCCTGTCAGTGTGTACGAGAACAGTTCTCAGAACTATTGCCTATCACAGTCCTCAAAGGACAATGTTTGGAAGTTTCTGAGCAGAAATGTGGGTAACAAAACCAAGTGCAAGGCAGAGGGAGCTGATCATAATTTGCAATTGTGTACTTGTTTATTAGCCTAGTGTCTGCCTGCTTTCTGAGACTGTAAGCTCCAGAAAGGTGGGAACCACATCTATCCTGTTGGCCCCTCTACCATCAGTGCTCAAAGCCTAGTATCTAGTAGGCAGGCCCTGTATAAATGTGTGTTAAGTGACTAAATCAATGAAGACAGTCATCTTAACTCAGAGGCCTGTATCTTACAATTTTTCTCCTGCCTTCTTTATATCTGCTCTTGTCTAAGAATAGAGAAACTTCCAAAGCTGTGATTGGAATTTTTTGTTGTTAATCCTCACCCAAGGATACTTTTTCCATTGATTTTTACAGATAGTGGAAGGGAGGCAGGGAGAGAGAGAAACATCATGTGGGAGAGACACATGGATTGGTTGCCCCTGGCACGCATACCAATCAAGGCCAAGGGATAGAACCTTCAACCCAGGTACATGCCCTTGACCGGGAATCAAACCCTCAACCCTTCGGTGCACTAGCTGATGCTCTAACACCTGATTGACACCAGCCAGGGCCTGGAATTTTATAACCTTTTTCCAAAAACAACTTTACTTCTTTTTTTAAAAAATTTATCTTTATTGTTGAATGCACTACGGGTGTCCCATTTTTCCCCCCAATTGACCCCTTCCACCTCACTCGCACCCCCTCCCCAGGCCTTCACCCCGTTATTGTCTGTGTGGATGGGTTATGCATATATGTATATAACCTCTTTGGTTAATCTCTTCCCACCCTCCACCCCCTTCCCTCGTCCCTCTGAAATATGATTGTCTGTTGCATGCATCAATATCTCTGGATCTATTTAGTTTGTCAGGTTCTTTTGTTCATTAGCTTCTTCTTAAAGAAGACCCTTCAACATTTCATGTAGTACTGGTCTGGTGGTGATGAACTCCTTTAGCTTTGCCTTATCTGTGAAGCTCTTTATCTGACCTTCAGTTCTAAATGATAGCTTTGCTGGGTAGAGTAATCTTGGTTGTAGGTTCTTGCTTTTCATCACTTTGGATATTTCTTGCCACTCCCTTCTGGCCTGCAAAGTTTCTGCTGAGAAATCAGCTGACAGTCATATGGGTGCTCCCTTGTAGGTAACTAACTGCTTTTCTCTTGCTACTTTTAAGATTCTCTCTT